GTCCCTAACACACAGAACTGAACAGTTTAAACTCCACCCAGACAACCAACTCCGTGACAGAACACAGCAAAAACTTAGTAGGATATACATCTAAATCCCTTATCTCCTGGCTCACATCTCAGGGATGCACAGATCCTGTTGTTTTATTATTTTTATTATTTTTTATTACGTTTTTATTATTTTTTTACTTATAACCAACTTCAGTAGCAGTTCCTGTTGAGTTTTTATTCAGTTTTATTCCCCCCTCAACCTCCAGTTCTCTTTAAGACTAACGATATCTGCCTTCTCCAACTGTTTGTCATTCTCTCTTGTGACTTCCCTGGGGGAAATCAGAAGTAGCTGGTAAAGTAGATCTCTGATCCAGCTTTTTACAGTGAGCTAAGCTGAAAAGAGGTGGGATGTGCATCCTTTGCTATCCGGGCAAAGTATGAAAAAGAATTCTGTTGAAACATTTACATTTTTATTGCTGAAGGCAGTGAGAGGATGGGAAGAAGTAGGTTTGGTATCAGACAGACTGGAGTTTGGATTCCTGTGCTGCCACTTATCAGCTTTATGTCCTTAACCTCACTGAGCTCCCATTCACTGTCTGTAAAATGGAATGACTCCCTCTGCCACAAGAGTGCCCTACAGTCGTAATGAGATGTATACCAAGGTGTAAGGACACAAGAGAGCCTCAGTAAACTTGCCCTCTGGACCATGGCAGGCACTAGTGAGTGGAAGCCCACCCAATAACCAACTTATCCACACACACTTCCTCCTTTGTAGTGGAACTCCCATTTTCTTCCAATGGCCACAGCATGTGCTTCAGGAGAGCCTGTCCCCAGCCTCAGCTCCAGGGCTATTTCCTAGTTGGTCCAAGCCAATCACAGTGGTCCCATTTCCCTTGCTGGACACTGAATTAGACATGAGTACATGAAATAATTCTGCACCAGTGAGATATGACCTTGAGTCACCTTTGGTTGAAAGGAAGTTCTGAGTTTTCCTTTGTTAAATGAAACTAAATTTGGCTTGAGGAGGCCTCCATACAATTGCAACCTTAGTAACAAACTGAGTCAAAGCTTAACTAGGAGTATACTTTTGTAATACCTGAGTCTCAGCCAATCACAGCAGCCAAGCTTCAGTCAGTTGCAGGCAGCCAACTATTCAAACTATGTTCAAATAAAGCAAAGGCGGAGCTGCCACCAATCAGCTGTCTCTGTACCTCATTTCCATTTTCTGTCCGTAAATACTTTCAGACCATGGTTGCACCCCTGGAGCTCTCTGAACCTGTCCTGCTTGTGAGGGCTGCCAGATTCTAGAACTGCAAACAAAAGCCAATTAACATCTGCAAAACTTGATTTGCTGTATTTTGTCTAACAACTTCTTTTTCATTTATTTATTTTTATTTATTTTTTTGAGACAGTTTCCCTCTGTTGCCTGGGCTAGAGTGCCATGACATCAGCTTAGCTCAAAGCAACATCAAATTCCTGGGCTCAAGCGATCCTCCTGCCTCAGCCTCCTGAGTAGCTGGGACGACTGGCGTGCACCACCAGTGCCTGGTTAATTTTTCTATTTTTAGTAGAGACAGGGTCTCGCTCTTGCTCAGGCTGGTTTCGAACTCGTGAGCTCAAACAATCCGCCCGCCTGGGCCTCCCAGAGTGCTAGGATTACAGGCGTGAGCCACCGCGCCCGGCCTCTAACATGTTGTTCTTAAAAGGACATACGAGGAGGTGATCCCTTTCCTGCCTGTAGATATTGTCATGTCTGATGTTCAGAATGGCTGCAGCCAGGATTTGATAAGGGCAAGGAGCTTGAAGACAAAACCAACACAAAATGAGAACAGAGCAGAAAGATGGAAAGGCCCTATGCCAACTGACAAAAGAGTCAACCTCAAACTTCATGTCATCAGAGATAATAAGTGTCCTTATTATTTACTCCTCTCTAAGCCAGGTTTGGTATCTGCAGCCTCAATGATACATGAACCTTTTGCCTGAGAGTCTTTGGAAGTTTCAATGCCTGACTTATAGCTATCAAGTGCTAGCACATAGTAGAGACTCAACATTAATTTTGTCTAATATCGAATGAAGGGCATACAATAGTCCCCTGTAGAAAGACAGGTAAAGAGACTCTGGGCACCCAATGACTAGATCAAGAGAAAAACATTCCTGCATTCCTCCTTTGCCATCTTTACAACATACTAAAGCCTGCTCATTCATGTATCTTTTTCTTCTAAGGAATGGGGAGTGCCTGTGGGTCTCAAACCACTTCTGCAGGGGGCAGTTGAAAGCTGATACTTTGTCAAGGGAAGGGCTGAGCTAGAGCCAGTCCTTCATTTTTTTTTTTTTTTGAGTCTCACTTTTTTCCCTGGGCTAGTGTG